CTCGCTGCCGCCCCCGGGCCGGGTGGCTGCCGGTGGCTGGCCCCGCAGCTGCAGGTGCCCGTCGACAGCGGGCTGCCGCGGGCGCCTGCCGCCGCGCAGCGCTCAGGGGGCGCCCGCCAGGAGCTAGCGCCCACCGACCGCACGGTAGGCACCCCGCCGCACACGGCTGCGCGCGACGGCCTACCCCGCCCGGGGCCCCGGGGGGTCCCTCAGCTCCACACCGCACACCACCGTCACACCACCAGTCACACTCACTGCCGTCACGCCGCGTCACGCCGTCACGCTCCGTCGCGCGCGTCGCCACGACGCGTCACGCTGCACGGGCACCGCGCGCGTCGAGGGTTCATCTCACACTACAGCCATCTCAGCCGGGAGGCAGCGCCGCGGCCAGCGCGCGGGCCGGGCCGTGAGGGCGGCGCGCGGGGGGCGGCGCGGGGGGCGGCGCTGGTGGGGGCGGGCGCGCCAGCTCGGCACGGCCCGGCAGCCACCCCTGGAGTGGCTCTGGAGTAGAGTAGAGCGGCCTAGGATTAGCGAGGGCGCCTGTCCCGGAATGCACCCGCTCGGAGTGAGAGGGGAGCACCTCTCTGGACCACGCCAAACACTCACACAGGCACACTCAACTTTTCTGCTGCGCCAGCACACACTATTTGGCGTGTGTAGTGTCGCGTATCTGTTGCTCGGGCAACAAACACAACCATCAAGTGATGCTTGCAGAAAGTGGTCGGATCATCGCGACATCACTACACGACGACTACTTGTGCCGCCGGGGCCGCGGCGTCGTCCATTGTCCGCGCGGCTGCCCGTCCGGAGGGCGGGGCGGCGACGCCGACCGTCTTGTCCCGGAGTGACGGCCGGGGACATAGAGAGACAGCCCCCCGGACCACACGCGACTCCGAACATGACGACTCCTTTGGCCGCCTCGCCCACCACCACGTCGGGCACAATAGCAGCGGCCAGGAAATAGATTTCTGATCTCCGGGTGCGATCAGAGAGGCAGTGTGGTGGTGGTGGTGGTGGTGGTGGTGGCGATGGTGGTGGCGGCGGGACGGGTGTATACGAACTGCACGCCCAGCGCATTACGCTTGCATGAGGGCGCCCTTGCCCGCCCGGACTCCCCGGCCTCCCGCCCCGTGCCGTACATTTGCGCCGGTGAATATTTTAGCATTGGCCGCCGCGGCGTGTGTGGCATGGCAGTGGCGTAGTCACGGATTGTGTGTGTGAGAGAGAGCAACAGAGAAGGAGGGAGAGGGAAAGATCTTCCTCTCTTTCTCTTCCTCCCGTTAGCGACACAATGACGTCACGGCGTCCTCAGGATGAACAGCCCACGTTATGGTGCGGCACCCCTCCCTCTCCCAGCCCACTTTCCTGCTCCTCTCATCCCGGTGCGGCGCGCCTCTAACCTACATTTCACAAAAGCGAGAGAGAGAGTGAGAGAGAGAGAGTGAGAGAGCGGAGAGAAGAGAGACTGGGGGGGCTGCTGTGACGCGGGCGGCGCTACTGCCGCTGCAGGAATGCGATCAAGAGGCGCCTTAAAGAGGGCGGCGGTGGCGTGGCGCGGCCCGGGGTAAACAGCGCCGTGGGGAGGCAGACCCCTGGTGGGAGAGCAGCACCACCCTGGTAGAGAGCAGCACCACCCTGGTAGAGCAGCACCACCCGGGTGGGAGTGCAGCACCACCCTGGTGGGAGTGCAGCACCACCCTGGTGGGGAGCGGCAGCAATCCTAGTGGAGAGCTGCAGCACCCTGGTGGAGAGCGGCAGCACCCTGGTGGAGAGCGGCAGCACCCTGGTGGAGAGCGGCAGCACCCTGGATCTACCACCAGCAACAGCAGGCGTAAACCACGCGGAGGTTTTTCGCGGTTTTTCGCGAACGACCGACCATTGATGCTGCTTCTCGCGGTCTCGCGCTTTGCTTGAGGAGAACGAGAAGAGGAGGGACGAGAAAGAATGAGAGAGTGTGCGAAAAGGAGAGACGAGGAAGGGTTCTAGGTGGAGAAGAAGCTGGTAAAAGAGGGGAGGGGGGGGGGAGGGCGGGGGGTAAGGGAGCGTGACGGCCGCTGGCTACCATGTAGGTGGGCCTGGCCGGACCGACCCATCCCCGGCGGCCCGGCGGCCCCTTGAGGGATAATAAATATTTGAGGGGGCAAAGAAGGGGTGGAGGAAGGGATGTGGGGGCGTACCCGCCCGCCTGGCCGGTCTGCAGCCCGCACCGCACCGTAGGCTGCTGCTGAGGCTGAGAGATTTCTGCACGGGGGAGAGGGGGGG